CAGCACCAATCTAGAGGAGATTGTGTCCATTAAGTCTCCAAACAGGAAAAAGTGAGACAGCAACTGTTCAATAAAAGCATTAAGTCGTATCTGTAGACAATATGATTTAAATTTAATACTTTAAATGCATGTTTGGATCTTTGTGTCTCACTACACATCATTAACATCCACAACATCTTTGCACATCACCAACAACCACTGGAAAAGAAGACCTTCATCTTGCCTACTCCGACCTTCTTCACAGCTTTTTCTCACAAACTTCCCGTCAATGTTTCAAAACGTGATTATAGACACTGTATTTAATTGTTCTCACACCTGGGGTTAAAGGAAAACTACTGTTCCTGAGCACCCCTGTTGGAAAGAGCAGGGAACTATCATGTTGTTTTCTTTTTCTTTAAACTAAATTCCAACCATGATTAGTTTTTTTTAATCATAATTCTCTCCTGATGACAGGTAAAGGGAATGCACATGATGTTATGACCCATGGAAATACAGATGGCTACATCTTCCAGGGACATACTGAATGACACAGACATGGTGGGTATATGCTGGTCAACCAGCAGTGCCATACCTCCATCACAAAACCTGTCATTCTGGTGTAAGAAAAACTGCCAAAAGGTGACAGAATTGGCAAGTCTGAAGAATGTTTCCTATAAGAAGAAACACATGGGATGATAGAAATCAATCAAGCCCTTAATGTCATCAAAATTAGAAGGAAACCCTTGACAGTTCCACTGTATTAAAGTAGCCATTTTAATTTAAGGGGACGAGGAAAACTCGGTGGAGATCCTTTCTTATTTTGTTTGTGACCATGACATTTTTATATGGTTGACAGAAGTCTGTCGACCTCCATGGAATCTGCCCTGGGTCAATTGGCCAGATCTATGTTAGATTAAGGAGACTCCAGTGATTGAGTGTATGACCAAATAATGGTTCAGCACCTTGGGACTGATGGAGAGCAGCCCAAGCAGTCACTGGATGCTTTGTGGGGACAGAAACATGAGAAGATGTGGATTTGTCAACTCTGAAATCTACAGAGGGCAAAAGACTCTGGACATGGTGAGAGAAAGAGTCTGAAGGAGGCATGGAAAGATCTGTATGCACCTCCACTGTAGCAGTGGAACAAAGTGCAGCAGCATATGTCTGAGGTGGAAGAAGTGACAACAACTTCTGTGCCTCAGGATAATATATGTTATTAACAGTAGTAAACATTGTACCTCTTTCTCCTCCACACACTTAGGGCAAGAACGAAAGTAGGAGAGGTGGGAACCACCACAATTAATGGAGTGTGGATCCAATTGACACTCGGAGGCATTGTGGCCTTTGCCACCATGACAAGAACATGTCAAGGAACCATGATAAGATGTCTTAAAATGTACAAATTGCTGAGACCAGAATCATCTGAGAGGGTTAGGAATGTAGAGCTGCATCTTACAGTTGAGATAACCTGCATTGATAGAAGCAGGTGGATGTGGTAACATAAATATCAAAACTAGAACCTGGGTAGGCTGCATATGTCCATCTTTACAAGTGGAGATATGTCGCACAGCTGAAACTCCTTGACTGGAGAAACCAACAAAAATCTCTGACATGGGGATGTTAAGTAAATCCCTCTCAACAATTACTCCACAGGAGGAATTCAAAGTAGCATGGGGAGTAACCTCAATATGTATATCCCCAATAGACTTTGATTTCAGGAGTAGGTCATTATATTGTGTTGTAGATGTTTCAATCAACATCTACTTCTTGACTGACTTTGAAGAGCCAGAAAGCCCTTCTAATCCCTTCTGGATGGAAAAGAGAGACATTTACTGAAAAGATTTGTCATACAGAGAATGAAGAATTAAAAACTGAGGTACAGGAACAGTCAGAGGTGGTGATTGTAGAACAGACTTCCATACATGGTTACTTATCAATTAATGCTTTTTTTTATAATTTTTTGTTCATTAGGTTTGGGGTTATCCATAAGAAAATTAAAGTGATTCAGTATTCACTGACCCCACCCATCATGCATTCTTACAAGAGGATGCACTACAATGCCAAACAAAGACAGTGCAGCTATGCCAGGATTTCGTGGGCACTATACCCAAGCACCAGCATCACACACAATGTCCACAACACCCCTTGAGAATGTCCACCACCGGCACTTAGTTGACCATAGCCCAAGCAGGGCAAGCTGATTGACTCTGGGGAAGTCACCACATAGCCACCCATCTACAGGAATTCAAAGCCAAAGTGATGTGTTGCAGTGTCTCTGATATCACACACTCATCAGGATGACACCTTTCAACCACCAAGATCCTCTCCTCCCTTTCACAGAATGCCACACATGGAAAACATGTGGGTGGATGTTTGAATCTCAGAAGAAGTACACTGTATGGACAGAATTTCCCTGGGAGGTTCACTCACCACATACAGGAATTCACATCGAAGGGTTTATGCATCAAAAAGTTTCATTCATACGTTATAATAATGTTAGTCTTGCCTCTGACAATATTAATTATAAAAACCTTTTTTTACTGTTCATAATATATATATATTGTTAAACTTGTACTTTACTACATACCATGACATATATGAATTATTTTCACTGAAAATTGTACAAACTCCAGTCTCAGAAAGTGACTAATCGTAGCAACACATTATTTTAAGGTTTATGTACTAGTTGTGTTGTGATGCAACATGCTTTAGCTCCTTTTGTGTCAGGCTTTGTTTTGGAAATGAGCTCAAAGAGAAAAGGTTTTTCATTTTGCTTTTTGATAACTTTTACTTATACATTAATGAAACAAATGTTCTTTTATGATCTGATATTATATTTTCGATAAATAAATGTTATGTATCTGGATTTAGATGTGATATACATTATTTCAGTGAAACTACAGTGAAGAATAAGAATGTTTTTCTCCAGTATTTATGATACATAATTCAGAATAAATCCGATAGAGATCAGCACAAACACATTTCCAATGCCATCTAGCAAGTACTGATTGTAATACATAACATATGAATAAATTCAAGGAGATAATTAAAAATACTGTGGGAAATGGTCTACCCCAATTAACTTGGGCAAATATTTTTTGAAACACGGAGGGCACCCAAGTTAACTTGAGTAAATCAAGAAAAAGGGTAATATGGAATGCAATGCAATAATAATTTTAACAAAAAGTGTACATTGAGAATGCACACACATTTTGATGTTCTTCTAATGCCCCTAAATTTTCATTTCTCTTATAAAACTTGCTATAAAAAAACAGTAGTTAGATTAAGTTTCAGAACATTGTGATCTGCTTTAATTTTAAGTAGTAGTAAAAACATCCAGGTGATCCACTCAGCCAAAGAACAACAAAAAAATTGTATATTTGAGGTATTTTCTTAATCTTTGATAAGTTGTTTAGGCAGAGTATTCATAATGAATCTAAGTTTCAAATGGAAAGCAACTGCCTATTGTAGAAACCTACAAATGAGGAGGAC